ACCATTATCGCTAACTTCTCAGAGGATGCATACATATTGTATTTCCTCTTAGATTGCCTTTTAAGAAGAAGCAGAAGAATATGATTTAATAAACGTTCCACACTTTATTTTTGCTTTCTTTCTACTGTGCAGGTGAATTGAGTTTGAAGATTATTTCCTTACAAATACAATTGCATTCATGCATTACAAAACTCACAGAAAAAGTATTTGACTAAAAAAAAAAAAGGTTATAAAATCATGATTGCAACTCTATCTATGATATTATTTAAAGAGTCCTTTCTACTTTTCTATTAGAAAAAGTTCTGGCTGGGCACAGTGGTTCCCGCCTGTAATCCCAGCACTTTGGGAAGTCAAGGCAGGAGGAACTTGAGCCCAAGAGTTCAAGACCAGCCTGGATAATATGGCAAGACCCTATCTCTACTAAGAAAAAAAAAGACTCCACCCCAAATCAACAGAATATACATTCTTCTCAGCACTACATTGCACTTATTCCAAAATTGACCACACAGTTGGAAGTAAAGCACTCCTCAGCAAATGTAAAATAACAGAAATTATAACAAACTGTCTCTCAGACCATAGTGCAATCAGACTAGAACTCAGGATTAAGAAACTCCCTCAAAACCACTCAACTACATGGAAACTAAACAACCTGCTCCTGAATGACTACTGGGTACATACGATAAGTGAAGGCAGGCGAGAAATTAAAGATGTCTTTGAATACCAAATGAGACAAGATACAACATACCCAGGATTCTCTTGGGACACATTTAAACAGTGCGTAGGAGGAATTATAGCACCAAATGCCGCATCGAGAGAAAGCTGAAAAGCTAATAAGTCGACACCTAACGGATCATAATTAAAAGAACTAGAGAGCAAGAGCAGAAATTTCAGAGTAGCAGGGACGGCAAGGAAAGTAATAAGATCAGAGCAGAACTGACAGAGCAGGATAGAGATACAAAAAACCTTTTCAAAAAAATCACGAATCCAGGAGTTGTTTTTTTGAAGAAGATCAACAAATTTGATAGACGCTAGCAAGACTAATAAGAAGAAAGAGACGAGAGAATCAGAATGGTTCGCAATAAAAAGTGATAAAGGATATTCACCACCGACTCCACAGAAATACGAAAACCATCAGGAAACTATAAACACCTCTACGGCAATAAACTAAAAAAAACTAGAAGGAAATGATATTCCTGACACATACAGTCTCCAAGGCTAAACCAGGAAGAGAGTTTGAATCGCCGAACTAGAGCCAATAACAGGGGACTGAAATTGAGGCAATCATTAATAGCCTACCGCAACCAAGATGAAGTCCAGCCCAGACGGGATCACAGTCAACCTCCTACAGAGGGACAAGAGGAGCTGGTACTGTTCGCTGTTCTGAGAACGGTATCTCCTATCAATAGAAGAAAGAGGGAATCCCCCTGAACTGCATTTTGTATGAGGCCAACATCATCCTGATACAAGGCCTGTGGCAGGAGGACAGTCAACAGAAAAAAAGAGAATTGGAACCAAATCCCTTATGGAACATAGGATGCGAAAAAGTCTCATACAAATACTGGTAAACCAAAGTCCAGCGGCACATTCAAAAGGCTGGGTATCCCCAATGATCAGAAGTTGGGCTTCATCTTGGGATGCCAAGGCTGGTTTAATAATTATGTGCAAATCAATAAAGTAATCCAGCCATTAAAAGAAGCCAGAACGACAAAAACCACCGATTAACTCTCCAACAGTGCACGAAACAGGACCTTTACAAAATCAAGGCGCGTTTGCTAAAAAGATCCGAGACGGGTAAATTCAGGTATGATGAACTATTCAAAATAAGTTAGAAGCATTGTAGGAGCGCAGCACCAATATCTACTGAATGGGCAAAAAACTGGAAGCATTTCCTTGAAACTGGCACGCAAAGGACAGGGATGCCTCTGCTCGACGCACCTTTCACATAGTGGTTGGAAGTTCTGGCTAGGGGGCATCAGGTAGAGAAAGAGAAACTCAAGGGTAGTCAATGTAGAAAGAAGAGGGAAGTCAAATTTCGCCTGTTCTGCAGATGACAGCGTGGGTATATTTAGTAAAGCCGCCAGGCTCAGCGCCAAAAATCTCCCTGTAAGCTATAGCACGTTGCAGCAAGTCTGCAGGAGTACAAATCAGGATGTGAAAAATCAAAGCATGTGCGTGAGCTCGTGATAATCGGAAAACAAGACAGAGACAGAGCGGAAAGTGAGAGTGAGCTCCATTCACAATTGCGCTTCAAGAGAGCAATAAGGACATACCTAGGAATCATAACGTGTGACAAGGGATGGATAAGGCCAAGCGTCTGTTCAAGGGAGAACACAGACCAGGTGCTCAATGAAAAGGAAAGGAGGCACAAGACAAGATGGACAGCGATATTCGCATGCTCCATGGTTAGGAAGAAATCGATATCGTGCAGAGATGGCCGTAGCTGGCCAAAGTAATTTATTGGATTCGCGAATGCCATCCCCATAATCTGACCAGATGACTTTCGTTCACGAGATGGAAAACAAACGTACTTTAAGAGTCGATATGGAACGCAGAAGAAAAAGACCACAGTTGCCACAGACAATCGTAAGCCGAAAAGAATCCAAAGCTGGAGGATCGAACGGGGCTACTGACTCAAACTATACGGACAGGTTCAGTAACCAGAAACAGGCACCCCCCCCGGCCCCCCCCCTGTTGGTCCTGGGTACGAGGAAACCAGAGATATAGGACCAATGGAACAGGAAACAGAGGCCCTCAGAAAGTATACCACCATGTAAACATCTGATCTTTGACAACGCTGACAAGAAAAGAAATGGGGGAAAGGATTCCCTATTTAATAATGGGGGCTGGGTAAATGGCGTGGTAGCCATAGAGTAGAAAGCTGAAACTGCGATCCGCTTCCTTACACCTGTATACAAAAATTAAATTCAGATGGAGTTAGAGACCTAAGGTTAGACTGAAACGCAGAAAAAGCCTCGAAGAAAAACGTACGACAATAGCCATTCAAGACCACGTAGTATGGGCAAGGACTTTCATGTGGTCTTGGAAAACAGCCCGAAAGCAGATCAGATGGTGACAAAGCAGCAAAATTGGACAAATGGGATCTGATTAAGACTTAAAGCAGCTGTTGCACAGCAAAGAAACTCCATCGCAGAGAGTGAACAAGGCAGGCCTACAGAATGGGAGAAAATTTTATGCTCTACCCATTGACAAAGGCTTATCCACAACCTACAAGAACTCAAACAAATTTACAGAAGAAAAAAAAACCAAACAATCCATCAAAAGTGGCAAAGATAGAACAGACACTTCTCAAAGGAAGGACATTGTGCGCCACAGACAGCGATGAAAAACATGCTCATCTCACTCAAGCCATCAGAGAAATTGCAAATCAACGCTCGCGCCCTCCATCTACCATAGTCAGTAGAAGTGAATACATTAAAAAGTCAGGAAGACAACAGGTGCTGGAGAGGATGGTGGAGAGATAGGAACACGCTTTCACTGTGGGTGGGACTGTAAACCTAGTTCAGAACCATTTGTGGAGGACAGTGTGGGTGATCCTGCAAGGGATCTAGAACTAGAAATATCCATTTGACCCGCCTCGCCTGATACTGGGGATAGTACCGGCAAAGGGGATTATAAATGATGGCTTGCTTTAAAGACACAGTGCAAAGCATGGTATGTTTATTGCGGCCACTATTCACAATAGCAAAGGATTGGCACGACCGACCCAGAATGTCCATCAATGATAGATGATTAAGAAAAGCGCCAGGAGCACAGCAGGGAGATATTACATGGGCAGGAACAGGATGGTCCATCGTCCGGTTATAGGGACACTTGATGCAGCTGAGAGGACGCATCATTCTCAGCCAAACTACTGTTACAGAGAACAGGAAACAGGACAGCCGCAGTTCTCATTCAAGGGTAGGAATTTTAACAATGAGAACGCACCTGGACACGAGGATGGGGAAGGCCGTTCACCACACCGCAGGCCTGTTGTGGGGTGGGGAGAGTGAGAGGGATAGCAATTAGGGATACACCTAATGAAATGGAGAGTTATATGGGTGCAGCACACCAACATGGCACATGTATACATATGTAACAAACCTGCACGTTGTGCACATGTACCCTAGAACATAAAGTATAATAAAAGAAAAGAAAAGAAAAGAAGAGTGCTTCTTAATTTGAATCAATTTAAATGAGAATTTTTGAAGCACTGGTCAGTATACAGGTTCTATACTACCATAATTCAAACTGATCCACATGTCCTTCTAAGTTATATGCATTTTCTTGTAGATCAATGGTCATTTTATTAAAAAATCATAGCATAGAGTTCTAATGGAGCTACACCTGGAACACTAACATAAAGTCCATTCTAAATACAGCTATAAAGAGTAGATATTGCAATTGTCCTAAATACATACATCCTCTTCCCCCCTCCCTGTCCATCATATCACACCACCCCTTAACCCACATACAGATCTGATATGACTATACTGGAATGAGGTGATTTTTTTTTTCTTTTAAAACAAACATATATAACTTACATATCTAAATGGGTAGGGCTGTACCTTTTAAACTAATCACCTTTGGAAGTTACATATGCATTCCAACAGGACACCGAATTTTTCTGGAATCCCTCTTTTAGAACACAGGTTCTCCAGATTTAGTGTGTACAAAAATCACCCAGCGAACAGATTAACCATGCAGATTCTTAGAGGTTTGCATTTAATTGGTTTGAATAGGGTCGAAGAATCTGTATTTTTAACAAAGACTCCAGGCAGGTCTTACACAGGTGATCTGTAATAAATAGTGCTTTAAAATAACCTCCAGAGTCAGTTCACAAGCCACACAAGGAATCAAAGACTTTATGTTCAAACTCTGTGTGTACATCTATATAACATGCTGAAGGTTTATTTTAGCTTATTCTTTCAAAATCTTCACTTTTCCTGATTGAATATATTAGTACAGATATGCAAGGAAGCGTCTATGTGCAAACAACATACCTCCATAAAAGAGATTCCTAAGCTCCAGACATCAGAATGAATTCCATACTGCTCCCCTGAAATCCTTTCAGGCTGCAAGGAATCAGAAGGGAGCTTGTGAGTTCACGGATGCTACTCAGGAAAACACATACACCAAAATGAGCTCAGCTAAGGTGAGGAGCCACCAACATCTGCATAGCATTTTACGGATGACAAAACAATTTTACATGTGTGTATATAAGTATTTGTGTATATAGTATAAAATCTATAGAGATTATATATAGATATATTCTTATTGAATCCTCTCCAAGTCCCTGTGAGGAAGACTTTGGAAGTCATTTCACAGATGAAGAAAATGGAGGCTCAGAGTAGTGAGGTAATTTAGGCAAGGTCCTAAGTAGTGAATGAGCTGAGATTTGAATCCAGATCCTCTCCCTCCAAATCCAGTGATCTTCATTGTGGAGTAACAAATTATACAACATTATATGATATTATTACTTATTTGCATTTTGATACATGGGTCTGGAACAGTAGGGTTTCTTTTAATTTTTTATTTGGAAATAACTTTAAACTTACAGGAAATTTGAAAAAACAAGATCAGAGCAAAGCACATTCCTATTTCCTTTACCCAGATTCATCTACTGTTCAACATTTCACTCCACTGATCAGAGTTTCTTTGTATATGAACCAAGGAACAGTTTGAAAGGTCCATTTGGGACTCTGGGTCCTCTACGCAAGATGTATAGCAAATACCTGGTCTAAAAAAGGCTACATAAACACTCTAATTCAAAAGGAATAATTTCATACTGAGTGGATGCTTCCTGAGCTATCTATCCCTCTAGGATTTAGCATTCAGTACAGTACTTCATAGAAGGCTTTGGAATGAACACATGGACAAATGAATGAGAGAAACTGAGGTTTCACAAAGGTGGAATGATTGCTAAAGGTTACAGGCTAATCATGGCAAGGCTGAGATCATAACTTACACCCCAATATCCAATTAAATAGATACCAGGATGTATTCATACAGAACTGGCTAGCCAGCTACAGGAATAACATTATTGTCACCATCATTACTATCATCAACAACAAAATTATGTGTGCATTTATTAAAGAATTTCTGTACACCAGGCCTTGTTTTAGTGTTTTTCATGCATATCTCATTTCAGATTCACAAACATCCATGTAACATTGGTACTATTTTATCATCCCCAATTAACAAATGAGGTAAATGAGGCACAGAGAAGTTTAGTTTACTTTACTAACCATTATGAGTGCTGTATCCACTATACAAGAAGGATAGTAATAGTTATCATTTAATGACCACTTACTAGTGTCAGACACTGGGCTAGGTACTTTGCGTCTTCTACTTCATAATGATTCTGCAAAAGTAGGTATTATTGCCCTCAATTTACAAATGTAAAAACTGAGGCTTAGTTAGTGACATGTTCAAGTCTAGAGCTATGGGTTAGCATTAAATGCACAGTCCAAGAGCGAGGATTCAAAGCCAGTTGTGTCTGACTGCAAAATTAGAGGTCTTTCCAGTGAGTCAAAATGACCCCACAACTAGAAGTCAGAAGAGCCAAGCACAGCCTTGAGTTGGTCAGTATTTCTCAATGTGCAGTCTTTGGAGCAGCCATCACAGAACTGCCTGAGGTGTTTACTATTAATACAAATGAACCTCCAGAATCAGAATCTCTGGGGATGGGGCTAGAGATCCTCACTTAAAAAAATAATTTCTCTGGGTGATTCTTTGGTACACTTAGCTCCAGTCACTAAATACTTCCATGTTCCCTGGAGAGACAATGACCTTTCAGATCTCCCTGCTTTCCTCTTCTCTGCTTAATGACCATGTCTCACACAGATCCTGTTTGAGGGTGAAACCTTTCTCTACTCCTACAGCAGAATTATAAATTCCTGCTTCTGTACTTCATTAAAATGCTGTTCATATCTTATTATTTATCACACTGTGTTATAAAATCATCTGTTTTCTAGTTCGTTTTTCCTAAGAGGCAAAGAGTGTACCAGGCAGACATACCTAGTACCTTGCCGGACACATAACAGATATGCAGTCAATGCATGCTGACTGAAGGGATGTAATACATGTTTACTGTATGAACAAATAAGTTCCTTAGAGAGTTTTAATATAACTTCCTCATACATTGCTATTCATGTCTGTCAAGAACTTCTAACAAACATGAAAATCCTAAAATCCTCTAGAATTATTAAAGAAATAACTAAATGTTGCCCTGACCTTTTTTCCTTCCTCTCTCCATTTCTTCATTCTACTGATTGACACGTACCAAGCATTTCATCCAGAATACAGAAAACACACACACACACACACACAAAAGTGGAACCCACATACAAAATATTTGGGCAGGATCAACAAGGGGGTTAAACACACTCATTACATTTGCCCACTGAACTATCAAAACAAATGCAAACTGTAAGCTGATAATAAAGCATAGAAAAATTAAATTAAATTTAAAAAGAAAAAATAGAAAAAGTGATAATGTTCACAGATACTAGATGGCAAATAAGAGAACTCTTTTAAGGGTCAGATTCTGATGACCTCTTGTTGGGGAAATTATTCTTTCAATAAGCTAATGAAACAAGATTACTGCTGTGATGCAGTGTTTGAGCAAAAATGTTCAGCAAAAGCCAACAGCAAGCTCCACGTGTCTATCCTAAACAACTCTTAAGGTGGATAGGGACTGGAAAATGTGCCCAGGTCCCTGGAAGTGATTTAGACACAAGATGAGCACCAAAACATTCTGAATTTATGGAGCCAGGATTTGATGGCCCGAGGCTGCACAATTCAAAGCTGTTCTCACACTTGAAGCCAAGGTGGCCTGCCCTGTCCTCTCCCCTGAAAAACAAAACAAAACAAAACCAACTACCAGGTACCATGTTGTTGACAGAATATTGGTGATGGATATTTAGCAGTTAAAAAGCTAAAACTGAGGTTACTCTCTCACATGACAGCTGTCATTAGTGTGAAAAGCTAAATAATAGGAAAAACATGACTCTTGTCTAAAATATCTTTGCAGTGAGGTTTAAGTGACAAGCAAACAAAATGAAACAAAAAAACCCTGACCTATTCTTAATAAGACCAGTAAAGAGTAATAAGTAGAATTTAGAGAGGATCTTAAAGGGCAGTCCTTCTGGCACCCACACTATACTCCCTCCAGATGCCCTCTGTGACTCAGCCTTGACAAGAATTCACATGTAGTTAACTAATTCCAGAACCGTCTGTTTACAACAAGATTTGTCAAAAGCAGGAAGATATCAAGGTATATCCCTTATTTCTTCCAAAAAAGGAATTTCTGTTCAGACTCAGGCTACATAGAAAATTAACAAAGTAGGCATGAAAACTTCAGGCTAGCGTATAGTCAAAATATGTATCACAAGTGTTAAGGATTTTTTTCTTTTTTTTTTTTTTTTAACATTGGCAAGATCCTTGTGTAGGCAGACAGAACACTGGTTAAACAGGACTCTCAAGTTAGACTGCTTGAATTCAGATCTATCTTCCAGTTCACCAATTCTCTCTTCTGCTGTGTCCAATATGTTGTCAAATACAGTGAGTTTTAAATTTCGATCTAGAAGTCTTGTTTAGAACTTTAAAAATCTGCTATGTCACTTTAAAAATGTGTGATCTTAAGTCTGTATGCATCTGTTTCTGCTGCTTGCTATTCCTGCTGATCTTCTTCAGGTGGCTTTGCTGTTTTGTGTGCCTGGTTCTCTTTGCTTGCTAGTTTTTCCTCTTGAAAGAAAAACTTTGGAGAGGTTCTCTGAGGCCTAAGGTGGAGACCACCTCAAACCACTTCTCAGTGTGAAGTGCCTTGTCCAACCTAGGACATGTATGCATATACCCAGGGTGCAAATCTATACCAGGGCTAGGCTATGGTCACAACTTGTTCTACTTTTCCTGTTTCTTCTGCTTCTCTGCTTAGTTCCAGATGCCTCCTCTTCAGTTTCCTGGGACTGGAGGAAGAGGAGCAGTTTTAGATCTAGTTTACCCTTACACTGAGGTTACCCATTTAGGCTTCTAGCAGGGAACAGAGAAGATCTTCTCTGAGACCTTCTGACTTAGGTGGGCTCTGAAGCTTGGCCGCTGACCCTCTTGCCTAACTGTGATTCAGGCAAATGCCCTCAGGAATAAGCAGTGATGGGGATCCCATTCTACTTTCCTCTCTGTGGTAGGATTTCACTCAAAAATTGTGCTGGGAGTAGCCCACTGTCTTTTCAGCTCTTCGGTGCATTTGAGATGGTTTAAAAAAAAAAAAAAAAAACTTAGCTAGCACATTTAAACAGAAGAGTTGATCTAAATAATTTAGTCTGCTATTAGCAGAAACTAGAAGCTGATGTCCTAATTAAATTGCCTTTTACTCTGTGCCAACTCTGAGATCTTGGGTTAAAGACATTTTGACCTTTGGCTTCCTCATCTGTAAAATGAAGACAGTAATAATAAATAATAGCAGTAATACGTATACCTCCTGGGGTTGTGTGAAGACTGAATGAATCCTGTAATGTGCTTCAGTACACACCACATGGGAATGCCCAGTTAATGCTAGCCTCCTCCCAGTCACCACCACTACCATTACTACCACCGCATGAGCATAGCCATTGAGTTGGGTCATGTAATGTGTATGGGTGTTATTCCAAGTATCCTTCCAGTCACCACCACTACCATTACTACCACCGCATGAGCATAGCCATTGAATTGGATCATGCAATGTGTATGGGTTTTATTCCAAGTAAAGACAATTTCCAAGAATTGGAATAGCTTGGGCAGAAAAAAACATTCTGGAGATAGGAATGGTTATTTAGATTGACTTTCTGATCCCAAGGGCCAAGTATTTGAGTAAGATTTTTTCATTTTAAAACTTCAGTTAATGATAGCAATAGTGTCAATTTTTATATTTGATTTTTAAAATGATAGTAAGCCAGAAAGACTGAATAAAGTTTTAGGAACTTCTATCTTAAAAACATAATAAAATTTTTAGTAATTAGAATTGCTGGGCCAAGTGTGGTGACTCACACCTGTAAGCCCAGCACTTTGGGAAGCCAAGGAGGGTGGATCACTTGAGACCTGGAGTTTGAGACCAGTCTGGCCAACATGGTGAAACCCCATCTCTACTAAAAATACAAAAATTAGCCAGGCGTGGTGCTGCACACCTGTAATCCCAGCTACTCAGGAGGCTGAGGAAGGAGAATCGCTTGAACCCAGAAGACAGAGATTGTGGTGAGCTGCGATCATGCCACTGCACTCTAGCCTGGGGGACAGAGTAAGACTCCATCTCAAGAAAAAAAAAAAATAAAGAATTTCTGAAAAATTGTTAATTTAATATAAGCTCCAAGCTTCTAGACCCCTTTTATAAACCTTATGGATAAAATCCTTTTAAAATGTGGTTGAAAATCTTTCATGCTTCTGATGAAGGTATCTATTGAACCTATTAATTATCTGCCCCTAAAAAAACAGTATGTCCTTGAGCATGACAATTCACTTTTCCAGGTCAGTCTCCTCACTGGTCAATGGGGAGGTTGGATCAAGATGACTTTTCAAGTCTCCTATAAGCACATTGCTTAATGTGCCCATACTTGGTTTTTCTAAATGACTAATGATGTTACAAAAGCTTCCCTGTCGTTTTCCTAATTATCTTTCCTGTATCTTATACTTCCGATTACAGAATAAAGTGAGATTATTCACATATGCAGGGCTATTTCATTCTGATATATTTTCTTTTTAATATTTGAGTAGCCTAGCTGGCTGTATTTAAGTAATTTTGGCCTGTCTATACCTTGAAACACAAGCAAGATTCATAATATGAAAAGTTAAATATATTCGTAATATGAAAAGTTAAATGTTGTGCTTATAAATAGTGAACAAGACACTTTTGGAATGCAGCTTTCATGAACTAATTCACTCGTCTGGCACTGTGTGAGGTACCTATGTCATAGTGTTGTGAGCATTTAAAAGTTAATATATGTGAGAAGAGTGATTGGCACATAAAGCTACTTAAATGTAAGCTATTACTACTGATGTTATTATCACTGTACAGAAGTATGCACGAATATAAAGTGAGGGAAATACGTAAAATGAGGGTATCAAGTGACTTCTAGTTACGTATTCCTGCAATTTTTTATTTGTCCTCTTCCCCATTTCTTCACCCTGCCCCATGCCTTCTATTTCTGAGTCTTTGCTCATCCATTCACAGTGATCTTTCTCTTGTGCAAGCACCTTTTTCACATACTGTTTGAATCATCAAATTCGTACACTGTCTATCTCATTTTCTTTTCTTTTTTATTTTTGAGACGGAATTTCACTCTTGTTGCCTAGGCTGGAGTGCAATGGTGCGATCTCAGCTCACCACAACCTCCGCCTCCCAGGTTCAAGTGATTCTCCTGCCTCAGCCTCCCGAGTAGCTGGGATTACAGACATGCACCACCACACCCAGCTAATTTTTTGTATTTTTAGTAGAGACGGGTTTCTCCATGTTGGTCAGGCTGGTCTCAAACTCCTGACCTCAGGTTATCCACCCGCCTTGGCCTCCCAAAGTGTTGGGATTATAGGCATGAGTCGTTGTGCCCAGGCCGTCTTATTTTCTAAATGTATGTTTGGTACTACTTAAGTCTTTATTATGTCACACATAATGCTGCTACATATAATATGTTTCCTGTTTCATCCAAGTCTTATCTAGATTATACAATGGTTCCACTGTACCTGACTGACGGCACAGAAGATGCTCAGTAAATGCTGGTTGATTATTGAAGGTGCTCTCAGTTTCAGATACAGCTTTCACTGGCATAGATCAGGGGCTGGCAAACTTTTTCGGTAAAGGGTCAGCTAGTAAATCTTTTTCATGCTATGAGCCATATACTTTCTGTTGCAACTGTCACAACTACTCAACTCTGCCACTGCAGTGCTAAAGTGGCCATGCATAATATATAAGCAAATGGGTGTGGACATGTTCCAATAAAACTTTATTTACAAAAATAGGCCGTAAGAGCTTAGAAGAGTGATTAGTACATTGTTCCAGTAAATTGAATTTGGCCTGAGAACTGTAGTTCATGGATATTTGGCATAGGACTTATGTAGAACTCAAAATTATAAAATATACCAGCTAAAACGAGAACCAGTTGTGGTTTAAAAAAAAAAAAAAAGGCTCAGTTCCTTTCTCTCAAGAGACTCTCAACAGATAAAATGTAGGGATTAATACATGTACTATAATAATATAGGTTATTTCCACCTCCCCCCTTCCCCAACCTCACACCATGTAGGTAAGTACTTGGCCTTGGCCAATAAGAGCCTCCTACTGAACTGAGCAAAGTGCTCACTCTCAAGCTATCATTGCTCCTTTTCTAGGTATCTTATGCTTTTTATAGCTTGAACTACAAAGCTGACGACTAGAATTCACTCACCTAAGAAGCAAAGCAATTTTAGTTTTGTCAATCTGAGCTAACGTTTCATAATTTTAAACCTCATATTTTCAGTTAACAGATGGATGCATCACATTCACCCATAAACAAAAATAAAAAACTAATTTCTTTAATGTACACCTGGGAAAGACAACTGTAATCTGGATTTGTACATTAAAATATAATGCAATTTAATTATCAGAGGAATTTAAAGCTACTAAGAACATGCTGGTTAGTTGAGCAATTGTTTCATTTACAGTCATGTCCCCCCACTTTTTAAAAATTACAGTGTTTCATATTCTTTCAAAGACTTAAACCTTAGCATTCAGTAAGGCTATAAATGTGGCTCACCAATCTCATCTAACTTGGTAGAGGAAGTAAGGTGATTACGTTTTATAAAAACAGATATGATGACTTCAGAGGTTAATTTTTTGTTTTTCCTATTATTACACTTAAACAAGAAAGTATGAACTTTCTTTAAAAACCATGCAAGACAAAAATGAGCTATTCTGGTATCTGAATGAAAAAAAAAAGTTCTGGGAATAAGGTTTAGGTTTAGAATTAGGTTTAGAACAAGGTTCCATCCCTAAATCTTTAATCAAGATAATATATAAACACAGAATACTGAGAATAAGACCCACAGTTTTATCCATACTAACATCATTTAATTTCATGATATATTAATGAAGACTATTAGAGATGAAAGGGACTACCTAAATAAATTTAGAGCTTTCATTATAAAAAAGTATCTTTCAGTTGTTACAGGAAGACAAAACTTTGCTCCAAAAATAATACTAGATAAGTTTCCTGTTTAATTCTTTTTTTCCCTCTGACTCTCAAGGTGATTATGGAAACGCATAAACTAAAGTATATTTATGAAAACAAGTAACTTCCCTTACTCAAAAGCCAAGTCTACACTGGTCTTTGAAACAGCCTTATGCTTCTACTTGTTATTGTTAGTAAGTTTATTTCAGTGCAACTAAATAATCTTACAATAGGCATGAATAACAACTAAACAAAATATAGAGGTGTAAGTTCTATAGAGAACTGCCCCCTAAACCCTTACATTCAGAGATCCATAAATATAATTTGGCTATATCAATAATTTAATTTCGATCAGGTGACAAAGCATGTTCATATTCCAAGAAAAAACAACCAATTTTATTGACTGACATCTGGGTATATTTGAGGGTTAATTAAATAAGAAATGTGGAAAAGTGGCCAGTATGCTGCAAGGTGCAATTTTTCTGTAGGATTAAACTTCAAAACTCAGCGATTTCACACTTGAACCAACCAGTTAAGTCAACAAAGTCAGAGAAGTTGATAGCTCCTGTAAAAACCCTAATGTCTTTTAGAAAGATTTAAAAATCAGACCATGAGTAGATTGACTTCATAATTTATGATCTGCTAGGCTAAAGCTGTGGAATTAATTCAAGAATTATACATTACCAAGTACATAAAGATAAAGATGTTGGTTTTAAATGTTATTTTTGCATAAGTTTACTTACCGCCATATAAGCATTTGTTCCAACATACGTCTTGGCTATAGAATTCACCAGCTATGAGACAAAACAGTCTGTTAGAACAATATAAAGATAATGTGGAAATAAAATGGGCAATTATTCCTCATTTAACCTACAATCATCATTCGTATAAATCAACTAAAAATTATGTAAAAGGGAACAAATTTATCTACAAAGGCATTAAAAATGATTAAATCTCTCTTTTCTTTTGAATGTGATTTCCAATTTAAACAAGCACAGCATTACAGTTTATAGCAGATAACCTTAAACAATTCACTTAAGCAGGATGCTTATCGCTTTAGTACCCCAAACCCGCCTGATATAAAAAGTCAATTTAAAGCAGAATTTGAACACACTCAATTTTTAGTCAGATGGCTCAAGATGTGAATGAAGCCCCATGCATTACTAGAATGAAACGAACACTAAATACGCTGGAGGGATAACAGACTTTGACAACTCATAATACAACGATGACCTTCGCTTTGGTCTTCGTGTTTGGCTGAGAGTAAAGGTGGCTGCAATTCAAATCAACATCACAGCACGCTCATGGGTCACTATCACTGGGTTTCTCAGGGGAGGCCCAAAATGGAAATTAATTAAAATTTGTGCTGCACATTGTAATGGCCCTCCACCATTGTTGCTCCCAATATTAATTTTTATTGTGGGCCAGTTGGGTTCCCCAGGCACAGCTCCCACTCTGCCCTCCCTTTTGTCTGGCCAAAACGCTTTCATATCAAAGCTGCATATCAATGAAGTTTGCTATTCGTAAGTAGTAATTACAATATCAGCAGTTTTTACTGTCATTAAACAATGAACAATCATATTCTGATGAAGGAAACTCGCTCAGAGATTAAAAATGAATAACACACTCCCAGCCGAGGAAAAGATGCAGGGTTTCTGTTTGTCTGGCAGCTAGGTGATTTTTCAATCCAGAGAACAGAATGAAAATATAAAGAGGTTGTTGCAGAGAAAAGAGTATACTGGGAGGAAAAGGGACATACCTGAGTGCTAACTCCAAAATCACACAGCTTGACCTGTCCTCTTGTGTTTACTAGCATATTGGAGGGCTTCACATCTAAAAAGGGACCAGAAAAGGCCATGTAACTAATTCCATATATCTACAGCGTTTGTTCTTTAAAAGCACACACGCACACCACACCAAGTTGCAGAAATGACATCATCTGCTCAATCCGAAATTCAAATCACAAATTCAATGAAAAGCATTTTTTTAAACTGAAGGTAAAATGTAAGGTCTTAACTCCTCCACTTTTAACAATTTCTGGTTTCTACAGAAGCAAGAGTTTATTTCAAGTAAAAGTGAAATCAAACTTTGGCTTACAACAACGGTAAATACACCCATCATCCTATCCGTAGTTTTTCAGGAAAAGGAGGTAGATAAGAAAAGGTAATCTTCCTGCAAAGAATTTGCACAAAAAGGATGCGTTTTGCTCTATATGTGTAATTATCAGGCTAATCCTCCCATCTAAGTAATAGTAAGGCCAAAGGGAGGCCAACAGGGAAAAGTCATTCATATGCTACGGGTAACAGGTCGTATCTGAATGAAACCGATGAGGAAATGAATGTAGCACTGCTATTTCCCATGTTTTACAAGGCAAATGTTACTTCAGATAATACTTAGAAATTTATCTAAAAGATGTGCGTATGTGTCTACATGCATGTGCTTATTAGTCTTTGTTTCATTTATCCTTCTCCTCCCTTACATTATTTTTGACTGCTGTTACAGTTAACAAAAGAATTGAATAGATTTCACCAAAGCAGTCAGTCGCTAAGTAATGAAACAAAGGATTTCTGTGAAGCATCGTCAGTGACAACAATGAGCCTTTTCAGGAATTCAGGGAGCCCAAAAAAACCATCCAAGAAGGACAAGAGCGTACCACTTTTGATGGTATAGAGCAGCATCTGCTTCAACGCATCTTTTATGGCAAAAGTGGTCTAGCAGAGACAACTGGTTATATTTAAAACAGCATATAATCTCAACTACACTGACACTGAACAGGAGACAATTTTTTGATGTAACATTTTTTAAAAAATTGTAAATGGGTTAATCTTCTCCTGACCTTCCATCTGGCAAAAGGGTACCACAACAAAGTATTTTGCCAAGAGTAGATACTTAATTCAAATTTCAAGTTCAAACACAGCAACTATTACTGAATCATACTTATGTGACAGGCAATGTGCTAGGCATTTTTTTATACATTAGTTCATTTAGCCTGATAAATGTTATTAGCCTCAGCCTGATAACTGACATTTGAATGTAAATTCCATGAAGGCAGGGACTTTGTCTCTTTTCTTGACTACTGTACTCCCAGCCCCTGAAAGAGTGACAGATATATTTCAAGTGCTCAATAAACATTTGTTGAATGGATGAGAGAATAAAGAATGGAGACCACGAGTACATGTTGTGGTTGAGGATTCTGTTTCAGTGATGTGGGGTGAACTGTAGAGCCTGTCTCTGTAGCAAGCACTTCAGATACCACACACTATAACCTCTATTGGGAGGCTCTAGGAATTCAAGTTGGTATGCACAGGCAAGTGTAAGCTCTTTTTATTGGTATCATCACCCCAAGAAATAAGTTCACAGGGTAGGAGTATACTTTATACCTCTTAAAATGTATCCCTTCCAAGCACAGTATCTTGTTCAGTAATGGATGGCTTTTTAAATGATACATTAAATTTACTAATACATGGCCGGGAGCAGTGGCTTACACCTGTAATCCCAACACTTTGGGAGGCTGAGGCAGGCAGATCATTTGGGGTCAGGAGTTCGGGACTAGCCTGGCCAACATGGAGAAATCTCTACTAAAAATACAAAAATTAGCCAGGCATGGTGGCGGTCATCTGTAATCTCAGCTACTCGGGAGGCTGAGGGAGAAGAATTGCTTCAACCTGGGAAACGGAGGTTGCAGTGAGCTGAGATGGTGCCACTGCACTGTAGTCTGGGCATCAGAGCGAGACTCGTCTCAAAAAAAAAAAAAAATTGCTAAGACAAATGTCCCCTTTACCAGCAAGTCCCTGGTCTCTTGGTGTCTAGTTTTCTCTAATTTTTCAACCTAATTCTTATACCACCATCATATTAAACCTTAAATATACCACTTTCACTAAATCATTTCTCTCCTTAAGGAGGAAGTTAAGTATTCTCTGACATGCCTGCCACCAACCAGAACATGAATTCCTTAAGAATAGGGTTGTGCTTTCAAGTGTGCCCCAGCAGTTAGCACAACACATCATAGACAGCCACAGTAGACACTTAAATGTTTGCTGAACTGAAACAAATGTTAGATTCTACATAGTTTGGTCTTATTTTTCAAATCTAGTTCTTATCATGGGCCCTGAGTTTTAAATATTTTTCTTTTGGACAATTTGTTCCTTTATATATTGACATCCTAAACTAGGGGTGTACAATCTTTTGGCTTCCCTGGGCCTCACTGGAAGAACTGTCTTGCGCCACATATAAAATACACTAATGATAGTTGACGAGATAGAAAAAAATGGCACACACAAAAAAATCCCATAATGTTTTAACAAAGTTTACAAATTCACGCTGGGCTGCACTACTCAAAGCCATCCTGTGGCTCCTGTGGCCCCGTGGAACATGGGTTGGACAAGTTTGCCCCAAACTATTCTTAAGCCACCACATCAGATGGAGACAGTTAATGAACAAATATTTTGAGCTCCTGGAAGGAGGTGCTGCCTGGAAATTCAGAGGTATGCTAAAAGCAGCAAATCTTTAGTTTCAATCAGATACATCTGATTTAAGTGGATCAATGGAAAGAGAAAATAATAAAACAACAAAACTGCTAAACTATATTCCAAAAGACAAGGTGTAAATAAGAACCTGACTGCATTTTTCCAGCTTTCCAACATTTTTTTAATGTACATGTAAGCCTACTGTATGACTTCTCATATTCTCCCCTCAACCTGGTTTTCAGAAGTACTTTATGTGTGAAAGTAGTAGACATCCAGTCATCCTCAAATCAATCTTTGCATTCCAACAAGACTGTTTTAATCATTGTTTCAAAAGAAAAAAAAAACCCTCATTAAGGCTTTGTTCATTCTGTTTTCATCATCTCCCTCCCACCCCCAGGTTTAAAAATCTTTCCTCCATATTTTCCATCTATCTGAATCCTGCCCATCCTTCATCTCAGGCCATCAGTCACTACCTTCTTTGAATTGCTGTAGCGTCTACTGTCTGTACCATTTGTTTGGCAAAGCATATGATTTATGTATGTAATGTATGTATGCATGTATTTCAGAGACAGGGTCTTGCTATGTTGCCCAGGCTGACCTCAAACTTTTGGGCTCAAGTGATCCTTCTGCCTCAGCCTCCCGAGTCAATGGGACTACAGGTGTTTGCCACCACACTTGGCTTTGATGACATTTTATACTAAGAGTTATTTAATGTATTTGCTGTTACCAGTATCATCACTCAAAGAATTAAGTTCACAGGGTAGGAGTTTAATTTATACATCTTCAAATGTATCCCTTCTGAGCACAGTATCTCGCTCACTGGTTGAGAGCTTTTAAATGATACATTAAATTTGCTAATATAAATGTCCCCTTTACCAGCAACCTTGAGATAATTTGAACCTAACAGCTCCCTTTAACAAAGTCAATGAATCTGGGCTAGGAGACAGATAACCTGGGTTTTAGTCTTTTTGATCCTGTCACAAATTTGACACATGACTGGCCTTGGCATGTGATGTTTTAGTTTCCAACTCTGTAGGGAGATAATAGTTACCATGTCAATATTTGAGAACTGTGAGGATTAGATGAGATAATGAATGTAAAATTGCTTTTTAAACTGTCCAACATTCTATAAGTATATTATTATTATCAACTGGTAATCAACCAAGCTAGAAAAAGTTGTATATTTCATTCTATTTAGAAAATAACTTCTATTGCTACTGTGGCAATTTAAGCTGTATTTGAGTAAAATACTAGCTCAAAGAAAATAATTTCCAAAGCCCAGTAAGTAGGACTGTAAAACCAATGTAATGTTTATGAGGAAACATTTTTGCCAGACTATATGCACCCTTTCCTCAACAATGCTACTGAGATGGTTTCCCTAGTTTTACACTTGCTCTATTATAGTTTGTGTTCAACACAGCAGCTAAAGTGATCCCTTTAAAACCTAAGTCAGACCACGTCACTTCTTTGCCTAAAACCTCCAAAGCCTTTCCAACTCGATGCAAAAATGGAAAGTCCTCCCAGAGGTCCCCAAGGCCCTTGTGAGCTGTCCCATACTCTCACCTTGCCACTCTTTTCCATGCCCACTCTGCTTCAGCTCACTGGCCCACCTGCCAGGTATGTTCTTGCTTTGTGGCTCTGTGTCCGTGAAATATTATGCTTCCACAAATTGTATACCTTTGCTTTAGATTTTTGCCTGAAATTTTCTCCTTTGCTTTAGATTCTTACCTTTTTAAGGGAAGCCTTTCCAAACCACCTGGTATGCAGTAACAATACCCTCCCAGCTAAGATAATTCCTTTCCCTTTTCTTCTGCTTCAGTGTTCTTAACATTTAGCACCATCAACATGCTGTATTTCTACATATAGATCTGTTAATTCTCAGTACTCCCCTCTTAAAGGGAAGCTCCATGAATGCATAGTTGGTCTGTTTTGTTCACTACCACATCTAGAATGGTGTCTGGTACATACACCTCCAGCTAATTTTTGCATTTTTAGTGAGATGGGGGTTTCACCATGTTGCCCAGGCTGGTCTCGAACTACTGACCTCAAGTGATCTGCTTGCCTTAGCCTCCCAAAGTGCTAGGATTACAGGTGTGAGCCATCGTGCCTGGCCATGTTATTATTTTTCTTTCACAATCTGATGATGATTGTTGGATGCTATATCTGCCATTATAATTGAAATAGGTGTCTTGCAAACACTGTACAGTTGTGTCTTGCTCTTTTAAACAGTTTGACATTTGTGCTTTTGATTGGACTGTTTAGATCATTCACACTTAACGTAAGTATTGATATGGCTGGGTTCAACTCTATTTGCCCCATCTGTCCTTTATTCCTTTTTTTCTTCTTTTCCTGCTTTCTTTTGGGTTA